CGCGCACGCACGCGCACGCACGCGCACACACACGCACGCACTCACACACAATTTCTCTTTCTCACTCTCTCTTTTCTAGGCCAGGGAGCCACCAATCTGCCACCTTCAACAAACCAAGTACCCTCCCCCATTCCATGTCACTCCCCAGCCTCAGTTCCCTCCTTGCCCCCCACCAGATGACTGAGGAAAGACAGGCCTCGGGTGCACCAGGATCTGGAACAAGAAAGCAACCTACTGCGTTCGCATTTGTCTGGGCCCTAGCAGTCAGTCCTGGGGGTTCAACCGAGGCCCTGGTCCCTTCCCCAAAACCTCTGCTTCCGTCCTCAGGGACCAGCAGCTGACAGACTGACAGACGCCAAGGCCGCTGCTTGTCTCAGGTTTCCGGAGTGAAGGATAGAAGCGCACCCAGCAACTGCCAGCTGGGCGCCCACTTGGAGCAGCGGGCCTGGACGGGGGCCACGGAGCCTGTTATGGACTGAAGTGTGTCCCCCAAAAACATGTGTGGTAAATCCTAGCCTCTACGCCTCTGGTTATAATCCCATTTGGGAACGGGTTGTCTTTGTCAGCGTGAATAAGGCAGGATTAGCATAAGGTGTATCTTGAGTGAATCTCTTTTGAGATATAAAAGAGATTAAAAGCCAGCAGAGCAGAGACAGAGGAAGGGAGATGCCAAGTCATATGGAGATCACCCAAGAGCAGAAGCTCAGAAGAGACAAGGACTTTCCTCCATAGCGCAAAGAGAGAGAAAGCCTTCCCCTACAGTCGGCACCCTGAATTCAGACTTTGAGCCTCCTACACTGTGGGAAAATAAATTTCCGTTTATTAAAGCTACCCACTTGTCGAATTTCTGTAATAGCAGCACTAGGTAACTGAGACAGAGCCCCCCAGTGCCTGTCGCCTTCCCGGCCTGGGGTTATTTGCGGACAGCAGGTCAGGAGCTACCGTGGCCCCCCGAGAAGTGGCAGCTGGCACCAGGGACACTGTGGGCATCAGCTTTCTCTCGCGCCCCAGGGGAGCTCGTGGGCCAGACACACTACTGCCTGGCATGTGACGGTGGCAGGCTGCCTGGCCGGGCAGAGGGAAGGGAGGTGAGTGGGAGGAAGTGGGAGGGAAGACAAGATGGACAGTGCCGGGAAGTAACCGGGGTGAGAAATCACATGCGGGACTCGGAGCTACAAAGAAAACGACTTGGGACCAGGGCTCCCTCCTCCAGCAGGCATGACTGGCACCCCGATGGGCTCACCTCGCGCCCCAATCAGAACACTTGATCCTCAATATCCTGCCAGTCTGTCTGTCTCTCTCTACTGTGACAACCTCTCTCCATCCTGCCCCTCCTCCTCCCAGCCTACGGCCTGACTCAGCCCACCTCCTCCCTGGATGACCCCCAGCCACACTCCCTCCCTCCAACGTGTCCCCGACTGGGCGGCTAGACGGACCCTCCAGTCTGGCCCTGCCTTTGCAGCTCAAAACCCTCCCACAGCTCGCCACCATCTACGATGAAAAACCACAAGCTCCTCAGCTTAGATTCCAGGCTCTTCAGGGGCTGGCTCCACTGGCATTCTCCAGAGACCTCTCGCCCTGCACAGCCCGTTGGGCCCTGTGGCCCATCCACTGGGCCGCCTGAATCCCCCCTCAGGCCTGGGCGCTCCACAGACTCCCAGTCTCTGCTCTCGACCCCTCTAATCTACAGTCCATGTAAATGCGCCCCGTCCTTCCCATTCAAGACCCCTCCGTGGCTCCCCAGTGCCCTCACAACACAGAACAAGTCCTCCCCACTGCTAAGGAGGCCCAGCGTGTGCCCAGACCACGCACTGAACAGCACAGCGCCTGGCGTCCAGAAAGCCCTCTGCGAACACTGGTGCCCATGACGATGATGGCTGCACCCCGACCACCCTCTCTCTAGCCTCACCTCCCCCCAACCCACTCTCTATTTCAGCCTCTGTCACTCAAGCCCTTCCCTCTGGCCTCCGCCGCCTGCGCCTTCTGTGGTTCTTCTTCCTCCTCCTGGGGTCTCTGCTGAACTAGCCGCTTCCTCCAGGAAGCCTTCCTGACCCAGAGGCTGCATAGGGTGCTCTCTGTGCACCCCTGTCCCAGGGAATTCTCCCCACTGAATCCTTCAAACACAGATTCAGTGGACCAACATGGCGGCTGGGTATCTGCTGAACACACAAGGAATAAGCCCCCGTCTCCCCTACAGACACCCAGCCCAGGACCAGACGCAGGCAGGGAAACACGTCCAGTCTATTCACCCCACCAATCTTTCCAGAGCTCCAGGCACTGTCCTGGGTGCTGGAGACAGAGCAGTCACTAAGACACAGCCCCGGCCTTCCAGAAGCTCATATTCCGGCCAGCGGGGAGGCAGACAACACACCAATACACACGTAACATCAGCGGTGGAGAGGGGCGGAGAAGAAAATCAAACAGTAAAAGATGGCAAGAAATGGGGGTGCTGTTTTAGCCATGTTGTAAAGGGGACATCTGAGCAGACATGTGTCTGAGTCAACGGAGGGAAGGGGCCGTGCAGACATCTAGGGAAGAGAATTTCAGGCAGGGGAACAGCAGATGCGAAGACCCTGAGGCAGGAGGAGCTGGGTGCGTCTCAAGAACTGCAAAGAGAGCAGAGTGGCTACAAGGGGACAAGCGAGGGCCGAGGGGGCAGGGTGGAGCATTCAGGGCCTTGTGGGTTGTGGTCAGGAGGGAGGGGATTCCGTCCCAGACACAGCGACTGCCACCAAACTTTTCCGGTACAAGTTGGGGTTACTTCTCAAAGGGCTGGGAGCGGGGATCAGATCCCAGAGGCAGGGTGATGTGGACAGAAGGGAGCAGGGCCTGGTGTCCCGTCTCAGCCCACCCCTCACCTCACTGGCCCAGTGACTTCACCTCTCGGAGTCTCCATGTGTCACGCGTCACCAGGGCTGCCCTCAGTGCTAAGCCACACGCTGTGAGCAGAGGGCTCGGCCTCCAGCCTGGCACCTGGTAATGACCCACACACATGGCTACCGCCATACAAAGACAGACATGAAGGCAGCCAGTGTGGCCGAGAGTGGTCAGGGCTCCAGAGTCCAAGAGACACTGGCCAGCTGGGTGGCCTTCGGCAGGGTGCCGGCCGCTTCCGTGACTCCCCGAGTGCGCCCCACCGCCCCACCGGAGGAGCCATTACCGCACGCAGGTGAGGGCAGAGGCTCAGAGAGGAGCAGCTATTTACCTGGGGTCGCCCAGCTCGGATGTGGCGGAGGCCCTGGCCGCTGCTCGATGCACCAGGCTACTTTTTACACTCTTACTCCAGCAACAAAGCGGCCAGCGGCAGCTGAGGCAAGGGGAGGAGGAGGAACTTGAAGATCCCCTGTGTCCCGCCTGGATCCTGCCCTGTCCTCCCACTGAGGGTGGCGTCTCTGCGGAGGTGTCTGTGACGCAGTCCCGCAATGATGAAATGCCAGCACCGCAGCCAAGATGATGGCCTGCTCACGGGGGAGCTGCCAGTGGAGGGCACCCAGGCCGGAGGAGACGCTGCCTCTGGAGTCTGGGTGTCAGCATGCAGGGGCCTGCCCCAGCCACCCGGACTGCGGGCTGAACGCCCCACAGCGGGGAGTGCCTCCAAGGCCCCATCCCCACTCGCTGCCTCCTAGAGCATCCGGGCCTGAGTCAGCTGAGAGCCTGGGCTGTAGTTGTAGGCTAGAGGCAAGACGCCTGGGAGGAAATGTGACAGGAGCAAGGACACTTCTCAGGAAAGGACACCCAGCCACCCAACCAAGGAACACACATCGTCTCATTAGTTACAGGGAAATGCAAATGAAACCACCCACCAAAACAAAAAAACACCAAACCCATTGCTGTGGAGTGGATTCCAACTCACAGTGACCCTACAGGACAGAGCAGAACTGCCCCATAGGGTTTCCAAGGAGCAGCTGGTGGATTTGAACTGCCAACCTTTTGCTTAGCAGCCGAGCCCTTAACCACTATGCCGCCAGGGGTCCAAAACCC